ACGTGAATGCTACACATCATGGAAGAGGGATCTATCGCACAAGAAAGAAACGAGCAGGCTCAAATCTCACATGGCTACCTATATGCTCTATCTCACATTCTGATACCCTGAACTAGATGCATAAACGACTGTCAAGAACAAGTGATCAGATCAAGTCACAGTTGGTAAGCAAACAGCTGAAAAACTGAACCCCTAAATCGTTCTACTGCACATCTCAGTCCTTATTATAGGTTGTCCTAGTCGCAAACAAGTTGTCATGCATTAATCCGAAAACCGTTCAATTCATCAATCAAAACACAGTGCCAATATGATCAAACAGCAGTACTCGGAGCCCTCAAATCATAAGATTCAGACAGCGGACTAGGCTCCAAGCACACAGACATATATTCCAACCGATACAAAGCACCCCCCCACACTTAAGCACGACATTGCCCTCAATGGAGTAGAGGGAAAGATAAGGGGAACGATGTTACCGGATTGAAACACTGTTGGGGGACTGGAAGTGGACCAGTCAGCAGGCTAGCATCAGCAAAACACACTGGGTGATAGAAACCATAGTTCCAAGTGGACAAACCGACAAAAACAAACGAAAGAAAAACAAACCTTGGTGGGGTTGCCTCCCCACAAGCGCTTCTTTTACATCTTAGCTAGACGGTGGCTCCTAAGTTTCGGTCCACCCCAAAACCTCCTTGAAGTTGAGGTTCTCGTCGACAATGTGGAGTCTCAAGTCACAAGCAAGTGAAGTGATAGGTGATGAAGACGGCTCGTGACCTTGAGGAAGATGAAGTCTCCACTCACGAGACCTCTCCTTCGCATCTGCTCTTGTCTCATTGCCCCAAACCAGATAAGATATATTCGATTGACCACCATCGTATCCACCAAGAGGGATTGATGTTGATGTGGTCTTAGTTGGGCAAAGAGACACTGCAAATGGGTCCTTGCCAAGCAGCTCCTCGAAGTTTGGTGGAGAGATCAAATGTAACATAGGCCCAGTGCAAGCCTCTTCCACCTCAACTTCATCCTCAACCTGGACGCCAATTGCCTCCACAACCCTCCTTCCTTCTTCAAAATGTGGTCTCTCCCCTTGGAAAAGATCAAGAACTACCTCTTCTTTACTTCCTTCCTCATCCTCCACAACTTCCTTCCTCATCCTTGCTCGCTCTTCTTCTTCCAGAACAGATTGGAGAGCAAGTCGCCAAGCAATTTCTTCAATGGGATCATCTTGCCTCTCCTCGCACAGGCCCAGCATGCTACAGCATAAATGAGGAACGGTGTGATCTGCCACCAGAGGACTTCCTGATCATGATCATCATGGGAGTTCTCTGTGATAAATTCTGTAGGCTCCTCAACGCCCCCGTTGCCCTTGTCATACTCCACCTCTTCTAGCATAGTAGCAGAAAGGTGATCTTGAGCAGGATGTGAGCAAACTTGCTTCACCCACTCTGTTTGCTTCGCTGAGCACTGAACAGTCTGCTCCATGTCATGGAGAAATGAGGGATCGGAAGAGGCAAGGGCTTGGATTTGAAGATCCATCTTGGAGCATGCTCTCTCAGTGTCTCGAGCAAACTGCTCCACGAGAAGCCTTAATTGTTTGTTTGGATCTTCCAGTGAAGTGTAGCATGGCTCTGCAGAGTGGCCCGCGAAGGTCTCCATGGCTAACTCCAACTCAGATGGCCCCTCTCGTTGTGGCAGGAACTCTTCTTGAAAAGGGTATTGTTCTTGAGGTTCCCAAGGGTTTGGTTGTTCTCCATAGTAGGGGGGTTGGTACTGACATCCGACTCCATAGTCTTCTCCTCCTTGATTGCTCCAGGAGGTCTCGGGGTAATACCACACGGATGGTGGTTGATACCCCCAATGGTTGTAGAAGCCATGAGGATCCATGTTTCAGAGCTGCACCAACAAAAACATAACACCCAAGTGAAAAGCAAGGGTGGAAAAGAAAAGAAAGTGCAATAAATAAAAAGCTAGAGTAACAAATTCTCACGTTTCCCCAATAACCTAGAGGGTTCCCCGGCAACGGCGCCAAAAACTTGACACGCCAAAACACAACACCAAACTGCGACCAAGTGTAATCGCAGTCCGGGAATGCAGTAACAGGCAAGTTATATTATCAACCCGGGGTCTAGATCTACTGCTTACTCCGTGATTCTCTATTATCTAGCAAACTAGTTCGAGTGATTGTTGTTTAAAGCAAAAGCAGTAAGAAAGCAGTAAATGGTTCGGTTTTCAAAAGCAGGTAAGAGTCACTCGGGATTGAGTCCCCCTAGCCCCTTGGTTAGGTTCAATTGCAATTCCCTGGGTTGATTTACTGTTGATTAGACTGCGGAAGATCCGACAGTAGCTTGGAATCTCTTAAGCTGACCAAGCCCTCTCAGTCTAACTACCCGGCAGACGACTAGTCTTCACCGGGATAGAAAGCTGAGGCTATAAACACAGAACTCCACTACTGGCGTTAAGAACACCAGTACAAAGCAGTAAACTGGCTAACTCTCGTATAGCCAGTCTCCTACTATCGAATGAAGAAGCTCTAACAACCTAATCAGATTCTATCTATCTCAGGTTGAAGCAGAAATTGAAACAAGCTGATCAGACTCAAATCAATTCATGAAACATGCATCATTCGATTAAAATCAAACAATAATATCATCCCAAATCATTACAATCAAATCCCTAACACAAGGAACTAGGGTTCTTCATACCCAAGTGAGAGAAAGGTTCTACTCCATAGAGAGAGAAAGGAAAACAGAAATCAGAGTAGTCATACTCATAAAGATGAGGAAAATCTGCTCTGGGATGTCAATCTTCACTCCTAGGGACGCAATCTGGGCTTCAATGATGAGAAATCCACTCCAAAATAGCTCCTAGGGTTTGTTCTTCGCTCTTTCTCTCTCTAAAACTCTGTTTTTTGCTCAGAAAATCGAATTCTTCTTCCTTGGCTCGAATTTGCCTCCAAAAACCCGACTCTGGGCGAATTACGGGCAGGATTACGGCCGTAATCACTTCCTGCCCGTAATTCACACCAAAACGCACGTTTCACTTAAGCTGCAGGAGGAGGAGATACGCCCGTAATTTCCCAATTACCGCCAGTAATTTGGGAATTACGGCCGTAATTATTGGGGTCTTGCCCGTAATTTTATCACCGCGAGGGAATTCTGGGTAGAAGGCTCGGCCAATAAATTACGGGCATGCCCTGGCCAATTACGGCCGTAATTTGTCAGGGGCTGCCCGTAATTCTGTCTCCGCTCCTGTTCAAAGCTTCGTTTCTCCCTCGTCCGGACTCCAAATCAGTCGCCGTTTGAACCCAGACGCTCGTAGTCTCGTCCTCTTTCTTTTCATGACAAGCTTGCATGATTCTTTGTCCATAAAGTGAGGTAGAAATCCATTCTTCTTCAGGTCATACCCGAGTTTCTTCTCCCGAATCGTCAATTGATCTCTGATTGACTTGAAACTTGCGCCTATGCTTCACTTTATGTGCTAGGAACTGAAATGTGACAAAGGAACACAACCTAGCGTAAAATAGGCCAGGGAACAATCAATTCGAGCCAAAATGGGCAGGAAACCAGAGTGAAAACACGTGCAAATACGATGCTATCAATAACTAATAATAATTAATAATAATCGACTTAACGACTATTGGACTTGGGCTGCCTCGCGGACGTCCTTCACTGCATAGGCTGCGCGGGTTGTGGCCTGGACGTGATCATGGTTCCATCACCCGTTCATGCAATCTGATTACAGCTTCGGCAAGTCCATAACCATATTACTGGAATTACTGTTTTATAGAAGTAAAGTGAAGTATACATTGTGGTTAGGGGTAACATGGTCATTATAGTGTGTGCTAATGATGTGATTCTGAAATCCTTGATCAAGTTGGATGGGGTTAGTTCACCTTCATCCAAAAAAGAAAAGGTTGGAGGGGGTCTTCACAAAAGCTGTGGACACTTCAGAAACTTTGCTCATTATGATTCAAGAGAGTGTTTTTGTCACTAAACCTGCTTTGTCTTTTCTCTTCTCGCTATCACGTGCTCCTGGGAAGATTCCAGTCATTCAAGTGTGTGGATATGGGACAAGAGTTCCTGATGATTCATTTGCCTAGCTTTATCATACTTCCAGGCAAGGAGAGGAAAGTAGTTTTATGTAGGGCTAATACCATTGGAAACCCGAACTATTAACTTTGTGTTATTTGTGTCCTAAAGTATTCGATATGACATTTGTGTCCCAACCTATTATAGTTTTGTGTCATTTATGTCCTGACGATTTTGTTGACCGTTATATATAACGGTTGACCAGACGGTGGTCAACTTGATGTTGACTTTTGCTGACGTGGCAAACACGTGGCAGCCACGTAGATGCCACATCATTGACACCTCATATTTTTAATTAAAATTTAAATAAAAATAAAATGGAGAAATTAAAAAATGAAAAATGAAAAATGAAAAACCTTCTCACTATCATCTCTACCGATTAGCCTTATCCTCAATCCGCTTTTCCCCCATTTTCTTGCAGCAGCAATGGATGTAGGGGTCGTTTGGAAGTTGCGATTGTTAGCATTGTATTTGTTAAATACATGCATTATCCACAATACAACGTTTGGAAGTGTCAAGTTGCAAAACAATGCATGTATTGTTTTGTGTGGGTCCCACCAACAATCAACAAAAATGAGGGATTGTACAATCTCAACTAAAAGTTGAGATTGTTGTGATTGTTGGTTTAATAATTGAGCACATTTACTTTTTCCAATTATGTCCATAGTTCTTTTTGTTTTATATTAAAAGTGGACGACAAATATGACATTTCCTTATAAAGTAACTTTATAACAATCAATTCATAAATTATAATCTCAACAACCAAACAATGTAATTTCAAAATGCATCTATTGTATCAATGCATGCATTTATATCATAGTGATTCATAACAATACAACGATTTAAGATACGTAACTTCCAAACGACCCCGTAATGTTTGCTCATCAGCAGTCGAGCTTGAATCCGGACGCCCCGATGTTCGCCCCCATGGCTTACCAGGCGGTGGAGGACTTCTCCGATCAGTGGTGGTCGCTCATCCAACCCTCCACCTGGTTCCGCGACTACTGGCTCCAGGAGCGCTACCAGGATCCCCAATTGACTTCTTCCTCCCCCACGACCTCGATTTCCTCGACGAAGGTACTATTACTACTACTACTACAACCTAGGTTAAGCTCGCTGAGTCACGAGTTGTGCTTCAATTCGACTCACTCTGGGTTGGGTTCTTTTTTGTTTTGGTGCAGATGAGGAGAAGGAGGAGGAATTGGGGATGAAATGGGACATGGTGTCGGTGGGATCGACGAAATGGAGGAAGAATGATCTGAATCGGTCGCCGAGGTATGCAGAGAAGGCGGCGAAGATTGTGAATGTGAAGATGAGTCCGAGGACGATTCAGCAGCCGAGGTAGATTTGTTGGTAATGAGTCAGGAAGTGAATGGAGAGTTTGGGGTAAAACCCAGCTTCCAATTTAACTTAACCAGAGAGGAAACAAAATCCCTAGTAAGCGGCGGACGGCTGTAGAGGGGATAGGAGGAGAAGGAAGAGGAAAACGAGCGACGACGAAGCCCACCACCGTCTCCGTCTCCAACTCTCGAAGCCCACCACCGCCGTCATCAGAGTCCGCGGCCCAGACCAGAGTGGCCGCCATCTCCGCCAGTGAAGGGTAAATCCCCAAATCGATTTACAATTGACGGTAGAGGTTGGGAGACGGGAGAGGGAAGGGTAAATCCCCAAATCAATTAGTTTATGTTTATGTTTTTTATTTTTGTAATTTTTTATTTTCTTTTCTTATATGAAAAATAATTATAAATTAGTATTATAAATTCCACTTCAGATGCCGCCTCAGCGCTGACTAAACTTTCTGTTAAAAATTAGCGGTCAACATTGGTCAACTCTAACGGAAAAATAGTTTGGGACACAATTGTCATATCGAATACTTTAGAACACAAATGACACAAAGTTAATAGTTCGGGTTTTCCAATGGTATTAGCCCTTTTATGTATAACAATGTTCACTTTAGCCTATTGGTGTAAATTGAAATACTTGGTTCAAATGTCATGAAGAGCATATATTTTTGGTAAAATGTGAAAATACAGAAATTCTATTTCTTATCTAATCGGAACTTAGTTCAAATGTCATGAAAATTGTTTATTTTTTATGACATGTGTGAAAATACAACAATCCTATTTTTTATCTAATAAGCAAGTACTCTCTGTTTTGGTCGAATACTCGAATTTGACCAAGCTTTAATACCCCCAATTTGATGACCGGCACCGGTTGAGCTGGCCTGTAGAGAGCTGGCCTGTAGAGAGCTGGCGTGACAACCATGTGTAAGAGAGAATGTAATGATTTCATACAACTCCAATGAATACAAAGCATGGTTGTCAAGCTGACCAGAATGTCACCGGTTGAACCTGGTTCAACTGGTGTCGGCCATGAAATCGACATGACACAATCAGTATGACCGGCATGATCGATATATAAATTTCTAAATAAAATGACCTTATTTTAGTACATTTAAATATGAGTACATGTAATTTTATTTGAATATCAATATGAATTGTACGTAAATTGTCTTCAAATATGGTTTATATATGATTAGATTCATTTGACAGTAATGGTTTTTGACAGTTCTACATATTTAATTAACCGGTATGAACCGGCACAAAGCGGTTGTAACACTGGTAGAACCATTCCACTTGGTAAATCGGCACAACGATATAAACCGGTTTGAGTTTGACAACCTTAATACAAAGGCTCTTCTACATTTCCTATGTTTTTGCACAATTTTGAATGGCCAAAAAAGGAAACCTCGGCGAGCAGTTTGTGTCATTGCTACGACACGTTTAGAGAAGTGAGAAACCATGTTATGAAAAGAAAGGAGCAACAGAAGCTAAAGTAGGGATATCTCAGATATGCTGTCTCCTAAACCTTATCTAGAATCAAAAGGAAACAAATTTATTTACAGAAATGAAGGGAAAAAGCTAAAAGCCTCTACTTTTAGATGCATCTCTTGACCATTGCTGCCCGCCATAAAGCTGTCCTCCATTAGATTGTTGCTGCTGCTGATACACACCATGAGGCCCCAAATCTGGGACAGCCAACCCACCACCCGGTTGTTGCTGGGGCCACCATTGCGGCGGCGGCAGTGCACCAGTATGTTGATGAACAATAGGGTTCATCAATTGAACAACTGGCTGCTGAACCATATTGCCCGCCGGCTGACGAAGCTGGGCATCATCAGGCCGCCACTCTGGCATATCATCGTCATCGTCGTCGTCTTTCCATGTTTGTACGGGAACCCTACTATCTGCCCAGTTTTTCAGGGGAGAAGAACCCACACCGGGCTGTCCATATCTATGTACAAGATCTCTCATTTGATCTACAACAGGACCGCGAGGGGAGTTCGATGGCTGAAAACTCCGACCACCCGGGAAACCCGGCGGCCTATTTGCTGCATTACTACTGAAATTGAACTCAGGCAAGTCATCCTCGTCCCGGGATGATCCTCCAGTCACCGTTGACGGAGGACCAAACCCAGGTGGCACATCATCATCATCATCAACATCAACACTAATTGGTGGAGGCCTAGAATGGAGGTGTTGAGGAAGAGCAGAGTGGTGTTTTGGGTTGCGATTTTTCGACGATGAGTGCTGCTTTTTCGATGAGTCTTTGGTACTATGCTTATGGTGGGGTGATATTATTTGAGGTTTTCTCCATACAACAACACCAATTAGGCCATTCTCAATACGATTTAGGGCGTGCATTTGGTCCTGCGGGAGGACCTTGCTCAGCAGGCCGCATATCCTTGAGTGAGGTGGGCATAAGTAGAGCTCTACTCCAGAAGCTGGCTCCGCGAAACCTACTCTTTCGTCTACTACATAAGACTCTGCGACCTGGGTATCAACAACCATAACTCGATCAACACAGACTCCGAAAACATTAATAAGTAAGTTCATCGAGTTACAGCTTGCACCCTTGTCTGGTAACTTACCTCGACAACGTTTGCTTTGTCACTTTCAGTCGATCCTTCCCTGCACACAAAGTGAACCGCCTGCACAGAGAAAGTCGACAAATCCAATCAAGGTAAATCAAATGGGCTGGAGAGGGGGCTGGTTTCAAGTTGAATCTATGTTTCTTATTGACATAGCTACGAGGAATTTATCTAACCGCTGTTCACCGAGAACATATCATAACAATTATGGTTGGTTGGTCAGCCGTCACGAAAGAGAATATAATCGTCACAAAAGAGAATATTATAATCCTAGCTAGACGACTAATGGCTTCAACACTACTTTTGCTTTTACTAAACAACGCAAACAAATGTTCCTGGAGATTTCTGAGAGGGTGGAAATAAAAGGGTATCGAGCGATTCCAACTTCCATCAATCCACGAATTCATCATACAAATAGTTCTCATCAACAACTCGATGAGATGGCAATTTCGCATGATCGATGGAAATGCTCGACCCTTTCTCTGTACCCAGGCTGGAACAATAGGAGACAAAGCCCTCTTTCCCTCTTGCTGCTGATGTATGGAATTTAACTGAAATTCACTACAAATTAAAGAAACAGGGGATGATACCATAACAGCACGAGTCCTGGACATTGGGAGCTCTTTCAGGAACTTCTCAAATGCTTCAAGCTTCACTCGCCCCTTTATCTCGATAGAGTTAGGCCAATCCTTCGATGGTGTTTTCTCCCCGCTGCCAACAGCGAAAGATTCAGCAAGTATTGGCATTAGACATGATGCTACAACTCAATCAATCACAACGGAGAGCAACAAGAATCTAGATCTACACTTCTGTTGATGACATATACTAGAAACTAACATATAGAAATGTTGGATTTAGTGCTTACCTTTTAAAGATGCCTACGAATGACACCATAACTGAAACATTGAGCTGCACTGAGCCCTCCCAGACACGTTCGCCTTTAATCACAGCATCAACAGCAGGAGGTGGGGCAGCATCTGATTTCACAAGATCATCCTTGCTGGGTTCCTCAGCAGCATCCGAACTCACATTTTCCAGATCATTTCTGGCCTTATAAGGAGAACTGACCGCAGGATCTTTTGGAGTGGCAACAGGAGACTTGGTCTCCGAGCCAATCTGTGAATCATCATCCTTTTCTGGGGTTGTTTGCTTTCCAGCATCCCCTGGCAAGCGTTGGAATTGAGGCTCTGCGTCGAGTGATTCCATGAACTCATCAAGGGAAACAATTGGAGGAAGAAATGTGGCATCTTTGAGCTCATCATCCACCACAAGCCCTGGCATAAAATCAGATCCTTCAGTAGTAGAAGGAATAGTGCGAGTGTAAGAAGCATCCTGGCCCTGTCTGTTTATTTCTCGGTCATTTGTTTTCTCGCCCTTCGATGGAGGAGATGATTCTTTTTCATTCAATTTGGCTTGTTGCTGCGGCTGACTGAGGAAATTTGTCCCAACAGCATCCTCCGCTGAGACGACATCCCTATCATGTTCATCCTCAACTTGGAACTCACCTTTATGTGTTTTCCTCACAAGCTTTCTGATATCAACATCTGAGTCTGGTAAAACAACCATCTGGGCAAGCTCTTCTGCTTTTGCCATACGCCATTCAGCAAGCTCCTTCGAAGCAAGTTCCTCAGCAGTCATGGAGCATAACCTCTCTGGGGAGATTTCACCACACATGACTCTTTCTCTCAATTCTGGGTTGTTACGATCCTTCAAGTTGAACAAAAGAGACCTGCCTTTCTCTTTGTACTTTTTATTCACTCCTCCAAACAACTTGAAGAGTTCACCTTCGATCTCAGATGCCAAAATTTCAGGATTCTGGACCAGCTTAGAACCACCATCTTGATCTGGCGGGTTTGGACCAATGCTGCTTTCATCTATCAACTCCATTTCGGAATCTAGTACCCACGAGAGTCCATTACCCTGAAGAAGGTCATCTTTCACAAAAAAGTTGTCACTAAATGGAATATCATCAATGCTAAACGCATTCCCTGGTAGATGTTCCTGCATACCAGTCTGTGAGTTCTGTACTAAGTCAACCTCTTGCTTTGTGTTGTGAATGTTGCCGTTCTCTGGAAAAGAAACCTTTGGTTCTGAAGATATATTGGTACAGTTAGAACTGGATGGCAGTTCTGGCGACAAACGTATGGCTCGACTCTTGTCTTTTCCACCATCAAGTGCCTTATCTTGCACCAGAGCGAGTGCAGCAGTTAATGATTCTCTCAACTTGGACCTAACAGAATCAACTGAATCACTCTTTACTTTCGGGGGTGGTTTCATCTGACCAGATTGACTTCTCTGCACAGATGTTGTACTCTGTGTCCCAGTTTTAGTAGGTGCAGTCTTTCTAGAAGGCCCTTGTAGTTGCTGGGATGACGGGGTGTAAGAAGTAGACTGCATCTGAACAGGTGGTTTATTTGTTATAGGCATTATTGGCTGCATCCATGGCCTATGTTCATTCAGAGTAAACCGCTTGGGAGCTGTAAATCTCTGGGGCACAGGGTTCTGAGATACAGCAGCTCCCATTGGTGCCTTTCTCTTGTTCGATGTTGCTAACTGCTGTGGTTCCATATCCTGCAACATGGACCCCATGGCACTGGGCTTCGTATCAGTTATCAGGAAGTTCCCAGATGTCATATTATAGGAAAATGGATCGATCTGTTTAGTCTCTGGTTTGCTGTTGCTGACTACTGTGGTTCCATATCCTGTAGAGATTGATGTCTGCTGCGAAGCTGCATATGGATCAAGCTGTTTAACCTCTTGTTTGGCGTTGCTAACTACAGTAGTTCCGATTCCTGTAGAAACTAATGTATGCTGTGAAGCTGCATCACTGGGACATGAGCCTGCCATTCCCATTTGTATGCTGGGAATAGATACTTGTTGCATTGAAGAGTCATGTAAGGAAGCGCCTGATCCAAAACCCATCTGATTTGAAGGGTTCAACTTGTCTGAAATGTGATCTAGCTGATGGCTCATTTGGATGCTCCTGATTGGTAGCAGTTGTGAAACAAAATCATTTGACATGCCAACCCAGAAACAGAAAAACAACTGCAGCGCACCTGAAATGTAGAATAAAAATCAATAACCAGCTATACCAATCCAGTAATGAGATGGCAAATGCATACATCAAGCTACACGTTGGAAATCAAGACAATAGCCACTCGCCCACATCGTAACCGTAAGGAAATCGGAGGCCATAATAGCCATATAAGCAAAACAGGAAAAGCCTGTCAACCTAAAAGCAAATTCCTTCGACAAATATTAACCGTAGTCACACTATAGATAGACGGTCACTTTTACTGACTGCACAGTAGTTGGTGTTTTTTACCAGTATCCCTCAAAAGAATCTTGACTCAAATCGACCATCATCTCATATTTTCTTTTCATGACTAGCTACTACTAAAAGAAGCCCAATTCTCGTTATTATTCAACATACCATAACCATTAAAACCGTTTCTCTTAAAATTGTTGTCTCTTTCAAGCATAATTCTTTCAAGAAGTCTATCTCCGCTCTGGGCACAACAGAGGGCATTTAGAATTAGTCCAGACACTTGGGTTGACTTCAAATGATAGAAACCAATCAAAGGCAGTATTGTTGTTATATAGCCAGCAGCTTAAGCTTGCAGGGGCGCTGTGAGAGTTGCAATCTTCCCAAAGACCTATTATAGCTTCGATAGCAGCGATTATTGATTCCTACAGCGTTCAATAATCCTTCACACTGAAGGTTCATCGCAATTTACGAAGACAAAAGAATGCTCCGGAAATGCACCTTCATATACATATTCACAATTAAAAACCATGCCTATGCTGTACAGATTCCAACTAGGTGAATACTATAATATGGTACTCTTGCATCAATACAATCTTGAGCTTTTAGTATGAAGAAGCAGCTGTCAGAACTTCAACGATAGAGTGCCTTCACTGTTCATCACAATGCTGTTACCACCGAGTCAAACAATTTCTCCACAGTTTAAAGGGCTGACCTGACTGGGACAAATACACACTTGCACGCACAATGCACACCAATGTCATTTTCCAAACAAACAACAGAACGCAATAATCGTGACAAGTCCGAGCGTGCAAGGCATTACTGAAAGACAATGACGGAAGCAGATGAAGATTGATCAGCAAACACCATTAACTTAATCTGATGCAAGCACAATACGTGGCAGCCCTAGCAATACTAGTGCAGAATATTCATCTAGCACAGCGGACAACCAAGATTTCACACAACAGAGGACTCCAACACGGTTGACTGAATATTAAATGACCTGTCGAATTAACAGCATAAACATAATCAAACCCATTAAGGTTTTGGTGGGCAATGTAAGGAATGGCGAAATTCATTTGACAGATTACCTAACTTGCACCAGAATCAGCCAAGCCCTGGATAATCCACCCCAAAGTTATAGCATCAGATCAGAAACAGAATTCCCAACATGCAAACAAACATTGGAAAACCAGTCTCTGAAGTAACAGAGTTCCCAATTTCAAAGATACAAAAGCTATCAAGGAGATCCACCCCAAAGTTATAGCATCAGAAAGAGATTCAACACTAGTGCATATTGGCAAGTATCATCCATAGAAAATAACAAAGTTTCACTAGAGACCCATCTTAGTCATTGCCCATTGGTACAACCCAGGACCCACTAGAACAATCGAGAAACAAAGAAAAACCAAGATAAGGAAAAATGGCTCAAACGAAGATCTAATTTCTCCCAGAGCCTGACAGGAACAGTGCAAGCAAGTAACACAAAAAGAAAACCCTATTCAAGAAGACGGGCAGCAACGAAGGAGATAAAGCGCCCTCTCAGCACTGAACATATCGCGAGTTTTTCAGGAAGAAGAAAGGAAGGGAATTTCTTTTTAACCTGATCGGAGCTGCGAATCGACGTCCGGGGATGTGCTGGGAGAAGAGAGTGAGGAGAACGAAGATGGATGGATGGAATGACTAAGAAGATGAGTCGGTGGTCATGCCATAACCATGGACCGATTACAAACTCTATAAACCTAATCCACAGCGCGTGAGGTAGCGGCGCGGGATGACGAGGTTCGGAGGCTATATAATCCGTTTTCGATCGATTAGGTCCTTTCGATTAGGTCCTTTCGATCGAGGATTAGGATGATGGATTTTGACAATTCACTCCAAATCCAATACTAGTGGGATTTCAAATTTAGGTTCGTTTGCTTGAGGGTTTTGGTGATGGATTTGGTCATGAAAATATATCTATCATGAACTTGAACCGAAATCCATCGTTTGTCTTTGGGAATTAGGGAGATGGAGTTTGTGGGGCCCACCACTTTTGGGGTTTCAAATCCGTGGACCCCACGGACTTGGAAGTTCCACCTCTTGAGGTGGGATTTGGGTGATGGATTAAAATCCATGATGGTAAATTATCTTTCTACCCTTAATTATTTCTTTAATTACAAATTTGTCCTACTTTAATTCAAGGGTAAATACAATTTAATATCCAAACCTTTCATTTTAAATAATATAATAGCCAAACCTTTTCGAAAACAATCTAATATCCAAATCGTCAACTTTCCATTCGTTTGACCGTTAGTTGACACTTCAAAAAAGTTTGAAGTACGACGCTTCATCAATATCCATCGATATCTTCTCTGAAAAACCACCAACATATCGTGGTTCCAAACCCGAGAATGTATATGTGATTTGTTAGATTCACCTAGAAACACTTTATGCTCATCTTGTACATTATTATTTGATTGATTGTCGGATTCCACATCGGTGAGTTAGCAAGAAGATGATGAATTGTAGCAATAAAGCGAGCAATTGGCTGCAATTGATACATAATATTGCGTACATTATTAGATGAATTGTTTTTTTATGAAGGATTATTAGATGAATTTTTAATTAGTGCCAAGATGAATTGTTAATTAGTGCCAAATTGTAATATCCACAAATCTAATCAAACAAAGTCCATAATCAAATCCATCAAGCAAACAACAGACTTGTTCAAATCCATAATGCCACCAAATCCATCATATATCCATGGTTTTCCAAAACCCAGGTTTTACCAAAACCTTCATTTTTCAAATCCATAAAGCAAACGACCCGTTACTTCAATTAATGGGTGGTTTGGATGAGGTTGACGTATGAGTTATTTGAGCCGAAACAATTTTTTTGGCAAATTAAAATGAAATATAGTATTTTATACATGATGTAATTGAAATAACTCATTATAAATTAGTTGAAATATATACTCACCCTCTAGTTATTTAAAATAACTCACCTCTTAATCTCTATTTCACTCCATCCCTTTTTTTAAGTGGTGAAATAACACGATTTTTGGTTGTTTTATCCAAACAAAATAATTGACCAAATTACCACATTCCAAACTGAAATACCACATGAAATGTCACATAGCCAAATAATGCAATAGTTTGATTTGAAATACCACAGAACCAAAATGATACATCCAAACTTAAATAGTCCAAATATAATATTTGGGTTCATAAAAAAGTGAGTATCAAATTCATTGAGTTCACCGATTTGGAACTTTTTAGACGCCAAATTTGTCATTTAGGGGTTGTTTGCTTCATGGATTTTAAAATGAGGGTTTTGTCTTAGGTGATGGATTTAAAAACCCAAGGATTTATCAAGAATTTGGAGCATTATGGATTTGAAACAATCCTTTGTTTGTTGAGTTGTTTTAGTCATGGATTTATAGGTTTGGGATTTATAACTTAAGAAACTAATCTATTTTATTACCCTTTTATATTATACTAATTAGTTAGATCGCGCTTTGTAGCGGAATGTTTACAGAAATATATCATTCATTTTAAGACTTACTTTAATTAACATAGTATAATATATTAGTAACGATGATAGACATATGTTTGTCTAACTAAATTAGTAGATGTTTAGGGGAGTGATGCAATATAAAATGCCGAGATTGAACTTGCATCATCAATATGGCACTCCATATCACAATTCTTTCAAATTAGATACTATATTATGAAATTATGTAAATTATTACAAGGTCACGTCTAAATAAAATTCTATGTTGCATGATTACGTATTTGTCCAGCAAAACAACCTTGATGCTTTCTATTACGAGGAGGAAGAGGTGCTCCATATTTTCCGGGAAACAAAATCGACAATAGAAAAATATAATAGAAAGAGGACAAACTTGGAATAATAAATATTAATAGGGATATAGGTGTCATTTTATAACTTGGTTTTTCAACCTTTAACCTAATCCCAAGTTATCATGTGGGATTTGTAACTCCGTGGGGCCCACGGATGGGGAGCCAAAATAAAACCTAAATTCGTGGCCCCCACGGATTTGTCTCCAATTTTTTTGGCCAATCAAACAAAGTATTGATACCAAATCCTTGATGGTTTGATTTTTGGTACCAAATCCTTTATACAAATCCATGAAGGAAACGACCTCTTAAGGGCTTTACAAATTTGAAAATTTCACATAATTTGGTGAAATTCAAGGAGGACGATCAAATGCTTCAAGCTAAATACGCCAATTATTCATAAGATCTAATATCGAAATAATAATTTTCTCAAATCTCAAAGTGCCTTGTTAAAAAAAAGTTTTTTTTTTTGTTTTTTCTCTGAAATCAGGGTTCGGGAGAGAGTGCTTCGCGAGACCGGTCGATGGCCGCTGCAGGGTGCTCCAGCTAATTGGGCGCAGCTGTTCGGCGTCGGAGAGTCCAATCGCCTGCAATATGTTGCTCCAGACATTGTCAATGGTTCTTTGATCATTCCAAGAGCGGTGCGAGAGGAGGGTGTTGCTCGTTGGCGGCACGCTCTAGTAGGGCAATTTCTCTCGTCGACGCCAGAGATTGAGCAATTAAGGCACTGGGCACGCCGATTCTTGGGGCGAGATGGTAGGGTAATAGTTTCTCATTTTGGGGATAACATGTTTCTCTTCCAGTTTTCTGATCCAGATGCCTGCACTTGGGTGTTCGAAAATGGACCTTGGCACTATAACAACAAT